GTATTTTCAGGGATGCCCCTTGGGAATCCCCCTTGTTTGCAGAGCCCCATAAAGAGAAAAATATAAATAAGAGAATCATTTAACCTGCCACTGCTCTGCTGTGTTAAGCTTTTTTAACCTGCTAATAATCATAGTCAGGACAAAGAGAAGAAGACAGAACTCATTAAGAATAACGAGACCGGTGACAGAAAATGCTGCGATGGTTAGAATCGATGCACGCTGCCCAGGGCACACACCCCTCCCCCTTCTCGGCAAAAGATGCTAATTATGTCTCTGGCAGGAGCCATGTGGACCCCCTTCAAAGCAACCATTTAAAGATAAATACACTGCAGGCAAAGACTTCGGGCCGGCTGCACTATTCACTCTTCCGTTCCTTTAGAGATTTTAGGTCATGATATTAAATAGGAAAGGAGAGAGCCCTGCCAAACTTAGCTGAAAGGTCTATGCATGCCTTACGACAGATTTTTTAAATCTCTAAAGCTTCTTATCCCTGAACAACTGGCTGCTGTGTTGACATGTACACACTAATCCCAGAGTTATTAATCGTATCATTTTTCCCCACCCCAGGCTTTCGCTGAAGATATTAATGGAGCTGTGGGGAGAAGGCTGGGTCTTGGGCTTGCTGAGTGTCACTGATGGGTAACGAACACCAAGGCTTAAAGAACTCTACTTGCCAGCTTTTTCTCAGTCTCAAGATTCATTCTCTTTCATATTCCAAATTAGCACTGAGACTATTACGGGTAATAACGGAGGACTGGAGAAAAGGATGATCTGTAATCCTTGGCAATAAACATCGTTTCCAGGTCTTTGATTCCTTCACGATTTCTGCAGCCAGGCTTTCTTTCCCACCAATACTGAAGCCTATCAAGACTGTCTCCTTTACCCAGAGACTCCTGTAAAGGGTGATGGAGTGGCCGGGCTCTTGAGGCTGAGCATGAAGTTTGGGGCTCAGACAAGCTCTGTTTGGTGTGGAACCCGAACGAAAAAAGCAGCGGCAGAATTAGAATGCAGGTATAAAAGAAAAAGTTAATCAAATTCCCAACTATCAACTTTGTCTGTTAAGATGCCAGATGAGGCCAAGACTTAAGTGAGGAAGTGTCACCAGCAGTTGACACCTAAAAGTTAGAAATACATCTACATGTAAATCAAGAATTAGATAAATGATGAGACATCCACAAGATGGAAGGGGTATTTATGTGAGAGTGTGAAATAGGAAAACCAGATTGCAAAAATAAAAATATAATGCAATTCCATTTGGGGTGTGTGACTTGTATTGTATATGCACAAAGAAGGCTTAGTAACATTTTCACCAAGGAGATGATAAACAGTGGTTGTCTCTGGGAGATGAGGGGTATTTTGATTTTTTTTTTTTTTTGGTCTGTTTCTCCATCTTTTCTGCTGATCTTCCCTAGAGGAACATGAAATACATTTATAACTAAAAAAAGTTTCAACATTTGAAACTGAAAGAGAATTATTAAAGTACCACTACAAGAGGCTTTGTCTATTTAACCCTTGTACACCTCAAAATACGAGTTGTTGTTTTTGTTTTTGTTTTTGTTTTTGTTTTGCGGTACGCGGGCCTCTCAGTGTTGTGGCCTCTCCCGTTGCGGAGCACAGGCTCCGGACGCGCAGGCTCAGTGGCCATGGATCACGGGCCCAGCCACTCCACGGCATGTGGGATCTTCCCGGACCGGGGCACGAACCCGTGTCCCCTGCAACGGCAGGCGGACTCTCAACCACTGCGCCACCAGGGAAGCCCAAAATATGAGTTTTAATTAGCTCAAGCAACTGCATATTAAAGTATGCCATCTAAGGCCACCAAACCCATCACATTTCCAATATCATGAAGCACTTAGCGAATCACCTATCATTTGAGGCTTTTAGAAAAGCCAGATCAGGCAAACACACCTGACCTCACATAGCCCTGGCTTTTAAAATAAAATACCTTAAATCTAAAAAGCACAGGAGGAAGAGTAAGAGAGTGCAATACTCTGTGTCAAAACCTTATTGCACATCAGCTAAAATAAACAACGAAGCCTATTTTTATTGTCTGGCTCATGAATGTAGGAATAACTTTCCAAGCCTCAGAGCATTTTTCCAAAATTAAACATCTTATGTTTCACTTACTGAAACTTTTGTTCCATCTGACAAGTGACAGAAGTAAACTGTGTCTATGAAAAGACATGATTCTCTTGTGTCTAGAGCCTGGAAATGTCAAAGTTGGGTACTTGGTAATGTTTTCCCTATGTGCCATTTACTCGAGTAATAAGCATGCCTCTCCAAGCAAGGTCCTCCCTAAATCACCCCAAACCAGAGAAAATATGATTTTAAAAAACTTATGCATATATAGGCACATGGCACAAACATACAAATTCCGCTCTAAAAACAAGTCACACCCACTCCATAGGTAAAAACTTTCGTAACTAAATTCCATAATCTGCAGAGCAGTTTTCTGACATCCAAATAGAACACGATCAGTGAATCTTCCTAAAGAAAAGAGTTAAGGCATGGCTCCAAGGTAAATGTGGCTCCAGTGGGATTAAAAAGACACAATGAAGAGTCTTACCAACACAGAGCTTTAATTATTTACCTGAACCATCTTGCTTCTGATGATACTTGTTGACCCTTCAAAGATCCCTTTGGCTCAAATTCCTTCTTCTGAGCACCTGGTCCCACTCACTCTCCACTGCTCATGACACCACCCCACCGTCTACCAGCCGGTTGGTCACTCTCATCCTTCCTCTTCCTTTCACCCTTCACAGCCAATCCTGCACTTGGTTCTTTGCTAGTGGGTTTTTACACCTTCCTTTCCATCTCCACCCTCAACACCTAGGATCACTAGACTCCTTCGGCAAAGAGCTATTTCAAACCCAAGGGAGATGCTGGCAGGAGGCCCTGCTACCCACCCCACCTCCCTTTCGTGAGGGAGAAGTGGTCCGCACTGAAATACAGTTATTCTCCTCCTTTATGTCTTGAGTCTCCCAGGACTATCATATCAGTAGCCTGTAATCTCAAACAAAAACCTCACCCTTCATTTTCCCTTCCCTAACAATTTAGTCCTAAAGCAAACTGGTAGAAGGGGTGTGTGTGTGTGTGTGTGTGTAATGACCACGGCAGCCCCTGTGGTGTGCGAGAGCCAAAGGAGGATGAAGAGGTAGGTGTTCACACACAGGTCAGGCCGTTCACAGGGTCCCAGCCAAGTGAGATCAGAAGGGCTCCATGGGGAGGGTGGCAGAAGAGATGGGAGGTGGGGCACACTGGAAAAGATGGATCAAATAAACAATTTATGGATAACAGGAGTCAACTTTCTCACTGTTTAATATAGGGAAAAAAAAACAGAAAACCAGAAGGAACCCTTTGGTGCTAAACTAAAATTAGGAGGTACTGGTGCTCGTTCATGGATTTTAACAGACCTAGAGACATGTGCACATACATGCCCTTGCACATGCCCCCACACACACACAACGCATTTCCCTCTGATAGCTATGAGCACACCTCAAGCCCAGACCCTAGCTTCTAAAGAGCAGCTGTTCCTTAAAATGAACAGGGCTCTTAGAAGAAATGGCTGATTTCGGGGCTGAGGGAGGGAGTACACAACAAGAGTCCAGGACATTCCACTGCGTCAGGGAGCTGGGATGGGAGCATGACAGGGACGTGTCAAAGGGCAAGGCAGCCAGCTTGAAGGGGCTACACTGATGGGATCTGGGACAATCAAACATCAAAACAGATGAGTAACAGACTACAACCCTCTGAACAAAACAGGAAATGAGCCCATCCAGATCCCCAAAAAATGAGTAAATCGAGTTTGATGAGAAATGAAATATGGAGTTTCAAAGAGCCTCGTGGGCTTCCCTGGTGGTGCAGTGGTTGAGAGTCTGCCTGCCAATGCAGGGGACACGGGTTCGTGCCCCGGTCTGGGAGGATCCCCCATGCCGCGGAGCGGCTGGGCCCGTGAGCCATGGCCGCTGAGCCTGCGCATCTGGAGCCTGTGCTCCGCAACGGGAGAGGCCACAGCGGTGAGAGGCCCGCGTACCACAAAAAAAACAAAAACAAAGAGCCTCACAATGAAATATGTATAATCACAAAAGCTGCCAAGGGTCCGCTTTCCGTGGAAAAGCCTGACAGACCTGCCGCAATTCAGTGACCAACGTGAGCACCATCAATCAAAGAACAGACTGAAATGCTATGGCCCAACAGGGCAACGAGAAGCTCGAAGACTCCCTTCTGTGATGCTCCTACCTGAAATGGAGAGGCCCCTCAATCTCCCTCACCATTTTCTGTGTTCTTCCCTCATTTAGTTCCTACAGTAAAGACTTTCCCAAAATAAGGCCATGTAAATCCAAACCCATCCTTCATTACAAAATTGTAATTTTGTAATTACAAAATCCTCTCCGTGCACTCCGTTCATTGGTCCTGTTCATATGGACAGACCAATATTTCCACTGTTTTCTACACCTACAAAGCACTACTGTTATTTTTCCTAAAGTAGTATGGCGGGGGGAGGGAGTGGACCCTCCATTAGCGTGGCTTATTCTCAGACCTCAGGAAACACTAGGAAACGGGAACTAACACCCATCCACAACTACCCCACCAAAAAAAAAAAAATTACAAAACAAAAAGCCAAATTTGCAAAGCATGTGTGTGACGGTGATGCTGGGGTGGCAGAGGTCCTAAAAGGATGTCAGGGAGAAGTCAATTATAAAAATGTAAGACTACAAAAAAAAAAAAAAAAATGTAAGACTACAAACTGTGACACTGTGTGTTGAGATGCCAAGAAAGGTGATTCAGGAATCAGAGGAAAAGGGAAGGAGAAACAGGAAGGCTCAAGCACCCTCTGGGTGGGATTCCTCACTTTACACTCTCACTCCCTCAAACCAGGCTGGGAATTCAAAGAGGTTGTAGAGCAGAGACCAAAGCCAACATCAAAACTCCTGGGGACAGGCCTTGCCCCTTTTTCCTTCAACCAGGCTGCTCCCTCCAAAATGGCAACACAGTCTTACCTCGAAGGCAGAGAAAAGTAAGAAAATCTTCTGTCTTAGGCTTCCTTTTAGAGAGGTCAGAAATTTGAGTAGCTGGAGGGGGTAGCAATGGCTCCACTATCTTTACTGGAGTTGTGCTGGGACTATTCGGCTGGGATTGAGCAAACTTCCTTTGTGCTTGCAGCCTGGGCCTGTAAAAGCAAAAGAAAATTAACAACAAGCAGAGATCAGAGGATATAGATCTACCTGCAGCAATAAAATCATGACACAAAAGGGAAGAGAGACCTTATTTCAAGCAAACTCTTTGTTTCTAATTAAGGTTCTCTATATCTCTCTCACTCTTGTAAACCACAAGCCTGCTTTAAAGGGCAATAAATTTGCTTTAAAGGGCTACATTTTCTACACTGATATAAAATATGCACGATGAGCACGTGTGTACGTTTGCACACAAGCGCGTGCCTGTGCACAAGCCAGTGTGTGCCTGGGTATTTCCAAAGTGGCGTGCGGTATTAGGTGACACGGTATTAATGACTTCCGTGCTTTTTCACAAATCATCTACCACATTTATTTAGCATATTCTGTGCTTTAACACGATACTATCACAGACACATGCACAACCGCCTTCATATTGTGTAAGGACACCCCGTCCACCTTAGCCTGTCACTGACCTGGTCTCACACCCCCAGAGGAAGTAGTCTCCCCATCTCTAAGCTCTTCTAACTCCAATTCAGCCAAATAAATCCACCTGGAATTAAAGCTTGTAATGCAGGGGGTGGGGGGAGGGGGGGAAGACCACTTCTCTAGTCTATTCAAAACCCCTCCTTCATGGCCAAATTATGGGTTACCTTCTGCCCACACAAAAAGTCCAAAGTCCTTAGTTAGGGATTTGAAAAACTGGCCTTAACCTACCTTTCTCAGGCCTCTCCCCTATTACCATCCTACGTAGATACCAATCCCCTAATTTATCCTTTGGTGTCTACAAATCACAACTTCAATCTCCTTAACCAGACATTGTTCACTCACACAATTTTACATGTCAGACACTCTATTAATTTGAATCCTAATGACTCTTGGAAAGGTTTCTTTACTTTTTTCCTAACGCTGTAGCCAGTAACCGTTTTCCTTTATCTACCTAAGTGTTTTTACCCCCTGTATAACAGGCTTGACCTTTACCATAAATTGCCTCCTATTAGCTCTTCCTTGAATTTTCAAGATCTCAACAGCCTAATAGAAAATAAACACCTTTGAGGGTGTGAACCTGTACGTGTCCTGCTTTAAACCACCTCTCTGGCCCTGCTCATAAACATGCTCAAGAAACAGTATTTGAGAGCAGGGAAAAAACAAGAATCGAAAAGCAGCCCTATGGCACAGGGCTTTAAACGGATCTGCTCAGAACCCCAAACTGGAGTCAATCACTATGTGGGTGGGGCTGATAAAGCCACCCCAGCTCAAGGCTGCTTTGAGTATTACATATATTTATAATTCTATAGTACAAACAAGTCTTCCCTTAACTATCGCTGAGATCATGTAAAACAGTAAGCATAGTATCTTTAACTGCCGGTGCTCAAAATACCCTAACATTTTAAGTTAACATTCTAGTATTTAAAAAAATAAACCCCCCCCACACACACTGGTTTTCCACTTTGTAAAAATTAGCTCCCTTAAGTTTTAACCTCCCGTGTCCTGCCCAGACTCAACTCTTGCCTCCCTTACGACCCACCAGAAACACTCCTGAATAGGTCACATTCCCAATATGAACTGACATTTGATCAACAGGGAGACAGCATGACTGCTGCATACTAACTGGACAACAACCCTCAGTCCCTAAAATCCTACAAACGTCACAATTAATCAAAAGCACTTCAGAACCCAGGAATAACCAGAGGAAAACAGCCACGTAACAAGGTTTAACAGAAATTCCAAACATCATAAATGGTAAGGGAATAAAACAATGCTCCCATTACTGTGTTGTGAGGAACAAAGACCTCTTTTTTTGCAACCAACTGAATGTCCTGAAGATGAGAGAGCAGAAGTGTGTGCTGGGAGAGCCTCCAAGCCCAGAGGACTGACCTTCAAGGAGGATCAGATGGGGGTGGGGTGTGTGTGAGAGACAGAAGGAGCGGTGCTTCTCAAACCATCGCAGAAGAGGATCCGTTTTGCATTTGGTTCCCCCTCACGGTCCCCTTTAGATTTTCTGTCTTTTACAAATGGATATTTTTATAAGATAATTATTGTAGGGGGAAAATGAAAGACATAAACTACAAGCTCAAATTTATTATTAGACTCACAGACATAAAATCACCCTGTTCAACTGCTTTAACATGCTCACTGCTCACTCTCCATTTCTCTATTCAGCTCACTGGCACCAGGCAGCAAACAGCCCGTGCCTTGAGCAGGATCGCTTCAGAGAAAGGACAGGATACAGAAAAGTAGACAGCGGCGCCATGCCCTGCCACCCTCGGGGTGGACTGAGCCCAACAGAACTACCCTCCTCTTCCAACAAGCTCCTTCTCTCCTCCAACTTGCCCTTCCTGTTAAAAGAAAACCCCTGTAATGTTTTCCTACTGAACAGGGGTTTTAATTGGCAATTTTCTGATTTGTACGTCTTCATTTAAATGGACACAACTCACACTCTGGGCATTAAGGGGGCTTTATGGAATCACTGCCTGTACGTGAACAGGATGTTCAGTGTTTACTGCTTTCTCAAAAGTCGGCAATGACAAATGCCACACATAATGAGAAGACGGCACAGCCTGAATGAAAAACAAACACGCAAACACAGATGACAGAGCAGGACACGGAAAAACATTCTACAATTTCATAACCTCAAAGATAAATGCTCCGACCGTTGCTCAAATAAAAGGCGCTTTTTCCCTGATGACTTTCTCAGGGAGGCTATGAAAAACAAGGGCATAACAGATTAAAAAGCGGCAGTAAAATAAATTACCCCTCAGAGGACTAAGCCAAGCTCCCAAGTGATTAAGTATTTGTGAGACCCAGATGAAAGCAGGACCTAAACAACAAGACAAACCAATATCTTGTTTTAAAGAGGCCAGAAGAATCCGTACTTTGTGGAAAGTGCAGGTCTGCGGTTTGGCTTTGTGTGTGCGGGTCCCAGGGGATTACAAAGGTGTGACTTTGCTTTGCTGTCCCCACGCAACAAAAGAGCTTGAATGACACAACTCAGAGGCCAAATCCATGGAGGAAGCACTCTTAGCCATTCGGGGTATGTTTGCGGGATAGGTGATTCATTCTAGAGTGTCTGATACGAGAAAATGAGTGTATGTTATTTAAAATCAGTACAGAAAGGGGGCGGGGAGGTCCAGATGTGCTGAAGACCTAGGTTATCTGCAGCCGGAGGTGCTGGGGAAAGAAGGAGGCTGGCGTGCAGGAGAGGACAGGCATGATCAGACACCCACCAAGGGCGGTGGAGCTCCAGGAGGGCCTGCACTCAGCTGCTGGGCGCCAGCCGTGATCAGGCCAGCAAGATGGGAGCATCTAGATGGGAGCCACCCATCCCTCCACCAGGAACACCCCTCCAGTCCATTACCAGGGCGAAGATGCTTTAAATGGAAATTTAGGTTGAACTAAGGGAGTTCAGAGCCACCCTGGGGTGGGGCTGGAGAGAGTGTGGAGCTCCTGGGCATCAAGGGAAGAAACAAGCAGAATGTAGGGCCTCCAAAGGCTTTTTTGCCTGAAGTTTAGCCAGGAGGGCCTTTGCTTCGCGTCGGTAATGCACAGCAAGCCAGAATGCAGAAAATACAGAGGGCGTCTGTCCCACACAAACCACAGGAGTGTCAAGTGGCACAAGACTCACTTCTCTGTTGATCTTTTATTAACTGATCCAGGAAGGAATTTCCCTTACAGAGGACTCCTCCGTGCCAGGAAGGTCAATGAAACCAACTAAAACCAAACTCTCCAGCAAGCCGAAGAAACTTAAACCAACTGAGGAAGAAACGTGCAAATACATGTATATATGAATAAATACATTGAGGGTAACCTTTTATTTACAGTGTGTTAAAATCTAGGGTTGAGGGGCAGTGAGGCTTAGGGAATAGAAGTGGTTTCAGATCAAATCATCGCTGTTCCTCACCTTCCGTGGTGTAAATGTGTGTATGTGAATTAAAAGAGTAAAAAATTCAGAGAATGCAGAGCTTGCTATCTGAAGCCCTTGTCGTGGGTAAGGCCATCTGGGGTGTCCCTTCTCTAGAAGGGACAGGAGCCCCATGGCAACCCAGTCACAACAAAGCTCAGCCCTGCTGGTGTGAATCCCATTTAAGCAAAAGTGCCTCTTTTTTGGGGCGGTGGGGGGGGGGGGATGTGTTGATACGAACGTTGCTTTACTGATCTGATCCCCCCAGAGTGTCACTCTATGTAGAAATAAATGCTCTTAGGATAGAGGCAAAGGTTCTCAGGGGACCCTGCTTATTCCAGACTGCTCCCTCTAGCTGGAATGCTTCTCCCCTTTATCTCACCATGGCTGGCTTCTTCCTATAATCCAGCGAGGGGAACATTCCAGCCTGCTGCTTTTTACAGAATCACGTTTTCCATGTCTCTGTTCAAAAGTCACCTCCTCAGAGAGACTGAGCCATCCTCAAATAGCACATCCCCCAGGACCTACCGCTCAACTCCATTTCCATTCCTCTGCCCTTCGATGGCCTACAGAGTGCGCTCTCCTGCCAGGGCCTCCTTATGTCCTATGTCTGCACGTACGGGCTGCCGTGTGTCGAGGGCAAGCCCTCCATAGGTGTTGAGAGAGAAGAGCAGGAACATCGTGCTGCTGTCCCATTTATGAACAATACCACTTCCTCACTCATTCCTTAGGAATCACACGTTTTTTGAGCAGAGGGGCAGAGGGCATGGCAATCCGGAGGTGGCAGGGAGATGGCTGGACAGATCTGAAACGGACCCAAGAGCTACAGGAGAGGCCTGTGGTTCTGCCACCAGTAAAGTTATTGGCCATCCCAGGATACGGCTCTGCGAAGGTCGAGTGGAATCCAGTTTCACTAAGCATCAGTTTCGGAAGCACCTGCCTGTTCGGTCACAATTTCCTCCGCCACCACCGGCACCGCTTATTGAGAATTTACTGAGCCACTTGCCCATCAGGAGCATCATCGAACAAAAGCCAATTAAGGTCGCGTTCTGGCTGTCAACCACGCTGCGTCACAAGGTACCCCCCCACCCCAAGGCA